CGTTCTACGCTCAAATCCCCTCTCGATCCACTCTTCACGGACGACTCCAATCATCCAGCCACGAGATTCTGGTTCCAAAAACATCTCAAAGCAGTCCTCATCAAATCCGGCATCTCTGCAAACCAATTTTCAAGCCATTCTTTTCGCATCGGCGCAGCAACCACAGCCGCACAAAAAGGTCTTTCCCAACAACAAATCCAAACCCTCGGTCGTTGGTCATCTGAAGCTTTCAATACTTACATTAGATCCAGCCGTTTCCACATCCGAAACGCTCACCAAGCCCTTACTAATTAATTAGTTAATTTCCATCACCTGTTCATCGACACCATCACCGTATTCCACGCCCGCGTCGTAAGCATATCCAAATTACGGCGTAACATTTTAAAATTGCAGGCTCCCCCGTTCGTACGAAGTGACGGCTCCCCGCTCGTGGGTCGGGCTCGTCCCCCTTCCGAGCCGCTGGTCGAGCCCTCCCGTCCGAATCGCAGTCTATTTTAATCATCGTTGGACGGCCGCGCTCGTGTCGCCGCAAGGGCTCCCCGTTCTTTGGGCCGCGAGAGGTCTATTCCCGTGCCCCAGCACCCTTCGAAGCGCCGGTCGAGCTCTCCCGACCGAGTACAGTGGGCGCCCCCGTTCAACTGGCGAGGCTTACCCTTCCGACGCTGTGTACACCCAAGTTCCCGTCGGATGCCGCGAGAGCCCTCCCGGTTGAACGGCTTAACTCGTTCCAATATCCCGCTCGTATAAATCTGGCGTCATCGAGCTGTCAGTTCAACTGCTGGCGGGGCTTATCCGTCCGATGCTGTGAGCATCCAAGTTCCCGTCGGACGTCGCGAGAGCCCTCAATGGTCGAACGGTCAAGCTCGTTCTTTAGTAATTACCTTCTCATGCCCTTCACTTTTTGGGGGGAATTATTTTTACGCTCGCTGTCCCATACCTTGCTTTTTGGGGAGTACTCTGGGTTTGGGCAAAATTCCGAGCTCGGAGCCCTCCCCCGGACAGCAAGCCAAATACGCATTAAAATTATATTTGATTTCATGTACGTGTGAACTCGTGAAATAAATCTTTTAGCAGAGCTACAGCAAGCGTTTTTCTGTGGTGGAAACACATTAGCTACTAAAACTTCTTTGTCGTTGTAGAGCGCAGTGTAATGAGTGCATGGTTCTATAGCAACGACAGCCATGGGAAAATTGGTACGAATTTTACTATTAATAATAAAAGATAAGCTACTGTTCATTATAAATCAAGTCTCCCCCTGGGTGTAATTCAAAGTAGAACCGCCACTGTTTAGCATATTTCATAAAAGTATAATTAAGCATATATTTATTGCGAATGTACTTATAGTGCATTTGTGTTTAACATATTTCTTCAAAGTGTAATTAAGTATATATTTATTACCAATGTACTTTTAGTATACTTTTTAGAAATATATTAAAATGATATGCTTGTGTTTAGCATATTTCATACAAGTATAATTAAGCATATATTTATTACCAATATACTTATAGTGCATTTGTTAGAAATATATTAAAAATATGCTTGTGTTTAACATATTTCTTAAAAGTATAATTAAGCATATATTTATTACCAATGTACTATAGTATATACTTTTTAGAAATATATTAAAATTATGCTTGTGTTTAGCATATTTCATAAACGTATAATTAAGCATATATTTATTACCAATGTACTTATAGTGCATTTGTTTTTGTGTTTAACATATTTTTTAAAAGTATAATTAAACATATATTTATTACCAATGTACTTTTAGTATACTTTTTAGAAATATATTAAAACTATATGATTGTGTGTAGCATATTTCATAAAATTACAATTAATTATATATATTTATTACCAATGTACTTATAGTGCATTTGTTTGAAATATATTAAAATTATGCTTGTGTTTAGCATATTTCTTTAAAGTGTAATTCATTTATTGCCAATGTACTTCTAATATACTTGTTAGAAATATATTAAAACGCAAAAAAAAATTCCACTAAAATACATTTAAAATATCAATGGTATTTAATATACCTTAGCAATTACACTTAAGTACTACTTAAGTAAAAGTATAAATTAGTGTATTTATAGTGTATCATTTTTACACTTTTATTTAGCACAAAAAGAAAGAATGTACTACAAATATACTTTCTTTTATTTAAGTGTTTTTTAGTGCACTCAAGTACACTTCTTTTTCACCTGGGCCCACTGGAGCTCTCTCTCTCTGGCTAATTTTCTACACTGCCCCAGCAGTGACGTCTCCTGTGGTCCCACAGGAGCTCCGTTTCTCTGGCTAATTTTCTACACTGCCACAGGAGTGACGTCTCCTCTGCTCCCGCTGAAACTCTGTTTTCTCTGGCTAATTTTCTACACTGCCCCAGCAGTGACGTCTCCTCTGCTCCCGCTGAAACTGTTTTCTCTGGCTAATTTTCTACACTGCCCCAGCAGTGAAGTCTACTCTGCTCCCACTGAAACTCTGTTTCCTCTGGCTTATTTTCTACACTGCCACAGCAGTGACATCTCCTCTGCTCCCACTGGAGCTCTGTTTCTCTGGCTAATTCTCTACACTGCCCCAGCAGTGACGTCTCCTCTGCTCCCACAGGAGCTCTCTTTCTCTGGCTAATTTTCTACACTGCCCCAGCAGTGACGTCTCCTCTGCTCCCACTGGAGCTCTCTTTCTCTGGCTAATTTTCTACACTGCCACAGCAGTGATGTCTACTCTGCTCCCACTGGAGCTCTGTTTCTCTGGCTAATTTTGACACTGCCACAGCAGTAACGTCTCCTCTGCTCCCACAGGGGCTCTGTTTCACTGGCTTATTTTCTACTCTGCCACAGCAGTGATGTCTACTCTGCTCCCACTGGATCTCTGTTTCTCTGGCTTATTTCTACACTGCCACAGCAGTGATGTCTCCTCTGCTCCCACAGGAGCTCCTTTTCTCTGGCTAATTTTCTACACTGCCACAGCAGCGACGTCTCATTAAAAATCCGAAAGAGTAGGGGTGTAACCCCGGCATCCTGGCCAAATTTGTCCAGTGGCCTCTGTCCATCATGGCCTCCTAATCATCCCCATTTATACCAATTGGCTTCATCACTGTCTCCTCTCCACCAGTAAGCTGGTGTGTGGTGAGCGTTCTGGCGCACTATGGCTGCCGTCGCATCATCCAGGTGGATGCTGCACACTGGTGGTGGTTGAGGAGATTCCCCCCTCTATGTGAAGCGCTTTGAGTGTCCAGAAAGGCGCTATATAAATGTGATGAATTATTATTATTATTCCTCTTTCCATCCAGTGAGCATTGGTTTCACAGTGGACGTAGTGAGAGCTTTCCCAGTAGAGCACTTATATTTTCTATTTCATCCAGCGAGCAGTTGATCTCACAGCGGATGCAGTGTGAGAAAATCTCCTAGGCAAGTACTCATTTTTTCCACTTTTCAGTTTTCCTTTTTCCATCCAGCGAGCATCGGTCTCACAGCGGACAGAGTGAGAGCTTTCCCGTTAGAGCACTTAAATTTTTTCTTTCATCCAGCGAGCAGTTGGTCTCACAGTCTCACAGTGTGAGAATCTCCTGGGAAAGCACTCATTTTTCCACTTTTCAGTTTTCCTCTTTCTATCCAGCGAACATTTGTCTCACAGCGGATGAAGCGAGAAAGTTCCCGGTAGAGCACTCACGTTTTCTCTTTCACTTCAGTGAGCATTTGGTCGTACAGCGGATGCAGCGTGAAAACCTCCTGGACAAGTACACTACAACCGCACCTCATTCGCAGTCAAGAAGGGCCGTCAGTCCAGGCAGTGAGCCACCATCACGGGCCTCCCTGAACAAGCATCCAGGCCCCTTCTCGAGATGCCAGCCCGCCAATCTAGGCACTCTTTTGGGGTTTTTTAGTCCGGCCGCTGTCCTCTGCTCTTTAGCCTTTTGGGGGGAGTACTCTGGGTTCGGGCAGAATTCCGATCTCGGAGCCCTCCCTCCGGACAGCACGCCAAATACGCATTGAATCTTACTCACTCAAATTTATATGTAAGTGTGAACTCGTGAAATGAAGTTTTATTAACTAAGTTCGGGAGGAGCACGTTCAGATAATTAACACGAGTGGACAGCAATCAGCAATCAATGATAAGAGGGTACATATAGACTCAGCAGTCTTACCTCGATCCATTGACAGTTTGCAGCATCCTCCTCCACCCCTTCTCCACACTCCTAGTTCTCCACACTCCTCTTTCTAAAAATCCTGCCAAATACGCATTGAATCTTACTCACTCAAAATTATATGTAAGTGTGAACTCGTGAAACTCTGTATATGGCAATTTATCTCTTCATCTGTTCAATACAAATGTTTTGCAACACTACAAATCCCTCAGCTCTCGCCATCTCCGAAAAGCAGCTTTGTGTCAAATTTCTCACTTAATAACTAACCTGTCACTCCTCATGGCCACACACACAAGTATCCGAAGTAACTTTTCTCTATTCACGGATTTGACGAGACACGCACAGAAGCGAGTGAGGAACGCATGTATCTACTATGCAGGTAAATTGCATTAAATTAGTTTAATAACACAGCGAGATTAAAATGACCAAATAATGCTTTTTGAGGTTGGCAATTTTCCAGCAGCAGTGTTTTGTAGTCCCTGAGTGTACTAGTTGTAAATGATACCCTAAAAGAACCACAGCCCTTCTCATCTCTCTGGCACAAAAGCTTATTTATTGCACTACTTTACCAAGAATAATTTTCTAATGAAACTGTTAAATTACTATGGCCAGTTTCACAGACAATGCTTAGCTTAAGCCATAATTAGGCTTTAGTTTAATTATGACATCTAAGTAGCTTTTATAAACATGCCTTAGAAATACACATTAATCGTGTGCATATTAAGACAAAACAATGGCACTGACATATTTTAAGATATATCAGTGCAAGTTACTTTTAGTTAAAACAGCTCAATAATGCATTTTAGTCTTGGAGTAGGCTTGTGCCTTTTCTTTATGTGCAATTACAAATCATTACCTATCAACTGCTATGGCAACCAAGGTGAAGACAGAAGCAGACACTGACATGCCCTGGACCAGGTTGCTCACAGTGCAGGTGACCTGGCCAAAAGGCCAACCTGTCGAGAAATCAAGGACAGGATTGTCAAAATTGATACTGAAATGAAAAGCATGATATTGAATATGATGATCACATTCATGAAGATGATATTGATAATTATGGCAATGATGATGAAGATGACCCACGGACCTGAGATGAGATTGTCAATCAGTGTGGTGGGCACACAAAACACGCCGACCAGCAGATCACTAATGGCCAAGTTTAGGATGAAGAGATTAGTGACTGAACGCATGTGTCGGTTCCTGATGATCACCAGGCAGACAAGCCCGTTCCCCACGACACAGAGGAGCAGCACCAGCAGGTATGAGAGGATGTAGCTGACCGCCATCCCTACCGAGTGGATGTAATACGGCAGGAGCGTGAAGTTGTCCGAAGTCAGGTTGTCAGCAGAGAGGTTCAGGGTCATTTTGTCTATTTTGGATTTTGTTAAGAGAAATTACAATTCATTCTGATAAGAAATTCATATTGGTTTGATCAATACTGCAACAACAACAAAAAAAATAATAAAAAAAAATAAAACTGTCCACAATTTATTGATGATGAGGTCTGTAAATGATCAAAATGTTTCAATCACAACACAAATATTAATATTTGTTTAGGTTTAAATAATTGAATAACAAATTCTTAAAACAATATAGTAAATAATTTGTTTGTTGTGCATACGTGTTATTCAAAGAATAAACACCAGACTTTAATAAGCTCAGCATCTATAGCCACAGAGTATGACCATTTCAATTTCGTATTTTAAAAGTTTTAATGACAACAAAAAAGTCTTACAACATAGCATATCATAAGAAAAGATTACATCAGTCGAAAAGCGAATAGGACTGCTCACCTGTTGCGTGTGTGTGCCTGTGTTAAATGCACTCGTGTGATGAGCAGGTTGCTGTGTGCTGTGTTGTGTGTTCTGGCTGCAATGCGCAACTCTCACTTCATCGTAAAGCGCAGTGAACTGGAAACATGCGCGCGACGTGACAGTAGATTCCACTAGTGCGGTGACAGCTGGATGTCAAGCGAGTGTCGTCATCGATCATAATAGTTTTAATCAGTGATGTAGTGGTGCCTGGAGAAGTGGGTATACTCTTAATTTATGCCCCCAATATTTTTTTAAGCGTCCAAGCCAACGATGAACGCTCTGTGTTATAAACAGTTACGTGTAAGACTACTAGTCTTGCATTAGTATTCAATATGCAAGACGAATAGAGTAATGAATACAATAGAATACATAGAATCAGTAGTATCCTTGCATATCAGGGCCGCACATATGGTTTTCTAAATACCCTGGTGCCAGGTCCCATAAAGTATATTGTTAGGGGGGTTCGGGGGGGTTTTTCCCCCCCGAGAAAATTTTGATTTTCCTTATTTCGAAATGAGAATTTTAAGGTGTTTTGATGGCCAAAAAATTGACAACAGTAGCTTTAAAATCATGAAGTTGCCTATTTGATCAGATTCTTAAACATAAGAATCAGTTCCAATTTCAGCGACTTTTCTTTCCTAAATTAATCAATGTTTTTTGGACTAATCTGTTAATTTAATAATTGGTTCAATTGCTCACTCAAAAAGACAGTCACTTGTCGCCACCCTCTGGCTCAATGATGCAAGTTGTCGAAAAAACGTTATACAAATATATTTATACAATAATAATGGCAATATATTTAATAGGGTGCTTGTGTTGTTAAATTGAGCTTATAATTTCCATTGTCTTTTATCAAACTGATTATTTCTGTCGGTCATTTAAAACGTCTATTGAAAAACAGCCCTACATTTGAGCTATACTTGCATCTTATCTCGCACTGTCGTTAACTGAAGTGAAGCGTCGCGTTGGGATTCGCGCTCGGCTCGCGCTTCTGTGAACAGAAATAGGCCTACTGCATTCTTTGATTGGTCTCACGAACATTTAAACATTGACGAGCAGGTGATTGAGTGCTGAAGCAGATCAGATGAGAAGGTCAGTTATCGTCGCGAATCATTGCAGCAACAAATTAGAGTTAATACGGGTACGACTCTAACTGGGTGTTTTTTTATTCACGAAATTGGATTAGCAACTAACGTTAAGATGCGCATCAGAGAGGATTTAGAAGTGGGTATACGCAATGCCGACTGAAAAGAAAGTGGGTATACGCCGTATACCTGCGTATACCCTGCACTACACCACTGGTTTTAATCACGTAACACGAAAATGTAATAAAACGTACAGGGATAGTTGACGTGACGTGGCTTTTTCACCGTCACAGAAGATAAAAAATAATTTATTTCACATTTTCATCATTTAGAATACTGTAAATGGTTAAGCATTTTCTTGTTTTACATGAATTTATTGTTTTAATACCAGAGTTACTTTTTATTTTTTACAACTTTGAGCCAAATCTCAAAATCGTCCTATGTTGTGACGGGAGGCAATTTTTTTCCAGAAATATTACCTTTAATAAAGAAAGAAAATAATGTTTAAAAATCTTAATGGGCACTCCTGGCATAATTGTGCAAGTGTCTATTTCACTAAGTGGCCAATCATTTTCCTATACATACATTTCTAAATGTATGGGATTTTCATAAAGTTTGTCACAGAAAAAAATGTCCTTTGGTGTTACGCAATAACCTGATATTATGTTGGGCAATATCATGGACAACTACATTTAGTAGAAAGACCCCATTCAAGGTCATGTGACTGAAGACCCCTATGAAGCCCATGAGCAGTGCACATAGTAATTATTTCTCTCAGAATTGGTCAAATATTTAACTATGTTTTCAGACCACTGAAGTTGTTAAGTTTTTTTGCCCTTTGGTGTGATGCCCCTAAATATAATTTTTTAATTTAAATTTGTATTTTTAACAGCAGGACTATGTAATATTATGCAAATGTATCATGCCAATTGCTAATGACTGTTCAGCTAGCATTACCATAGTTATTAACATGCCACAAAAAGCTCAAATGTCCTTTGGTGTGACAGGAAATGTCCTTCGGTGTGACACTTTGGCCTGTAACACCATAGGACACAGATGTCACACAATAGGACAAGACCTAACTAGAAAAATTGCATTTCCTGCGGAATATGCGTGTGAATGCTTCAAAAGCTGAACTGAAATGCTTAAAAAAAAAAAAAATATTGCAGTTCAAACAACAGCAAAACAGAGCAAAAAAGAAAAAAAAGCTTAATTCAAATGCATTTAATAAGCTGAAATGCAAAACAAGATCCAAAAATTGTAGAAAACTACAAGTTTACTTAGAGAGGTAAAGAGAGGTAGAGATGTAGACACAGAGGTAAAGAAATATAGGGGTAGAGAAAGAGACAGAGGTAGAGAAGTAAAGGAGTACAAAAAAGAAAGGTAGAGAAAGACAGGGGGTAGGTAGAAAGAAAGAAAGAAAGAAAGAAAGAAAGAAAGAAAGAAAGAAAGAAAGAAAGAAAGAAAGAAAAGAATTAGTTAGAAAGAAAAATGGATTTAAAAGAAAGAAAGAAAGAAAGAAAGAAAGGATTAGTGAGAAAGAAAGGATTAGTGAGAGAGAAAGAAAGAATGGATTAGTTAGTTAGAAAGAAAGAAAGAAAGAAAGAAAGAAAGAAAGAAATATGGATTAGAAAGAAAGAAAGAATTAGTTAGAAAGAAAGATGGATTTGAAAGAAAGAAAGAAAGAATTAGTGAGAAAGAAAGGATTAGTTAGTTAGAAAGAAAGATGGATTTGATAGATAGATAGATAGATAGATAGATAGATAGATAGATAGATAGATAGATAGATAGATAGATAGATAGATAGATGGATGGATGGATGGATGGATGGATTATTAGAAAGAAAGAAAGAAAGAAAGAAAGAAAGAAAGATGGATTAGGTAGAAAGAAAGAAAGAAAGAAAGAAAGAAAGAAGAAAGAAAGAAAGAAAGAAAGAAAGAAAGAAAGAAAGATGAATTAGGTAGAAAGAAAGAAAGAAAGAAAGAAAGAAAGAAAGAAAGAAAGAAAGAAAGAAAGAAAGAAAGAAAGAAGGATTAGGTAGAAAGGAAGAAAGAAAGATGGATTAGGTAGAAAGAAAGATAGATAGATAGATAGATAGATAGATAGATAGATTATTCAAAATAAAGAAAAAGAAAGAAAGAAAGAAAGATAAAAAGAAAGAAAGATTAGTTAGAAAGAAATATGGATTTGAAAGAAAGAAAGAAAGAAAGAAAGAAAGAAAGGATTAGTAAGAAAGAAATATGAATTTGAAAGAAAGAAAGAAAAGAAAGAAAGAAAGAAAGATTAGGTAGAAAGAAAGAAAGAAAGAAAGATAGATAGATAGATAGATAGATAGATAGATAGATAGATAGATAGATAGATAGATAGATAGATAGATAGATAGATAGATAGATAGATAGATAGATTATTAGAAATAAAGAAAAAAGAAAGAAAGAAAGAAAAATAGATGATAGATAGATGAAAGAAAGAAAGAAAGCAATGATTAGTAAGAAAGAAATATGAATTTAAAAAGAAAGAAAGAAAGAAAGAAAGAAAGAAATAAAGAATTAGTTAGAAAGAAAGATGGATTTGAAAGGATGAAAAAAGAAAGAAAGGATTAGTTAGAAATAAAGAAAGGATTAGTTAGAAAGAAAGAAGGAAAGATATATTGGTTACAAAGAAAGACAGATAGTATAGTTAGAAAGAAAGAAAAGATTATTTAGAAAGAAAGATAGTATAGTTAGAAAGAAAGATAGATTATCTAGAAAGAAAGAAAGATAGATTAGTTAGAAATATAGATGGATTAGTTAGATAGATAGATAGATAGATAGATAGATAGATAGATAGATAGATAGATAGATAGATAGATAGATAGATAGATAGATAGATAGATAGATAGATACACAGATAGATACATACATAGTCTATACATAGATAGATAGATCATTTGGACACAGAATACCCAGGGGGCAAAACACCTGTTTTTTAGGAAATCAGACATGGGCTGCTGTAAAAGGTTGTCATATAAAAATGAAATCTACGATGTCTGAGGATCACAACCTGGGTGGACAACCCGGTGAACAAGCTGCTGGAAACTTGTAATTAGGGTCAAAACAATGCTACCTCAAATTCTGCTTTAACTCCCCGGAATCACCCAAACATGCTAAAACGGTTTGATTATATTCATGAATCCTGAGCCATATCTCCCTGATACTTTATGCTAGAAACAAACTGAGCATACCGTTCAAAAGAGTGGAAGATAAGCTTTCATCTGATGCATTGACTGTACATGTAATTAGAAAGTAAGAGTGAGCAATGCCTCTTAATTCATAGGTAGGCAAAAAAAAGAAAAAAAAAATATATAACATTCCATTTGTAATCGGTAACATTCTTTACCCTTTGTTGTTGTTAAAATAAACAAATTACCATGTGAAGTTAACTTTTACTAGATGAAATCATATTTTGATCATTTTCACTAACCATACAGTCCCTATGGTCCATAACAAATTTAGAGGGAATTCAATTTCAAGCCTATAATAGCCTGTCAATTCAAACTAGTTCCAAGAAAGAAGTTAACCATTAACTGATGTTTATGTATTTACAGTATATAGTTTGCATATTTATGCAATATATATATTATTTGTATTGCAATGTCTAGTATTTGTAATATTCTTTCACAAGTGGGATAGCTTTATTCTATCAAAAAAAAAAGGATTTGAGGATTTTGGGTTAGGCTGGTTACTGAGTGTGAGACAAAGGTACTGACAACTAAATGTTGAAATACTAAAACACACAGGAATCATGTGTGGAGTAGTTTTAAAAGTATTTAATGATTAAAACTGTTACATTAAGCAGCAATTTGTAAAAAAAAATAATAATAATAATTAATGAAACAGATTACAATTCAGGGTGATACCTAATTTCTATAATAATGTTTATACAATTTGTTTTTGCTGTTTTCGGAGTCACTGCTGCTGTCGCTGCTCTCTAGTGTTTCAGGATGCTGAACAACTCAGCATGCAGCATGCAACCCCTGGCAATGGCATCCTATGTAGCATGGAATTGCCCTCTTTGCACAGGAGCAGTTCTTCTGACAACCTTTAACACAACCACATATATTACCATGGCCAATGACACAGGCCAGACAGGCTGTGTAGATGGAATTGGAACTTCAACTGCTTGGCCCTCATCCAGAAATCATCCAAAATTCCTGAAGGGGGAATTTCTGGCTTGGCAATATCTGCATTCTTGTCAATAATGGTTGCCAGAGCTGCCCGTTTAAGGTGGAAGAGAAATGCGTTTTCAGTCGGAGGAAGTAGCTTTAAGAGTGTTGATTTGTTGTTCAATAACTTGTATGCTCTCAGTGTCCCCAGATCAGAATCTTCAAAGTGATCAGCTGAAGATGTATACACATCTATGATGAGGCCTCGTGCCTGGTGAAGCAGGTCATCTGTTATGTCATCAGTTGTATTTTGACCAAACTCTTCAAGTGCAGGTATGTCCATTCTCATGCTGCTTTTGAACCAAGACTTCTTACCAGTGAAATAAGGATAACTAGTTGTATCTCTTCCACTAAGACTGTGGACAAATGGCATAGCACAGCATAGTGAGACCTTCCAAAGTATGCCAAAGTATATGAAGTTAGTGAGCAGTTCACAGCTCCAGATCCACAGGAGTTTTTTTCTGTATCAGCCAATAAAGCAAATCTCCTTCAATTCCTCTGTGAGAGGTGGTGTGAGCATGAACAACTCAAGCCTCCTATTGGCCTGACTCGTATCTACCTGGGTGGTGGATTTAAAGAAGAGACAAAGACCGTTGTGCTTGCAGATGGTTCTGTCAGGGATGTTCCTGCTCTTGAGTCCACACAGAAGGAGGCAGACACAAGGATAATACTCCACACCCTCTACAGTGTCCAGAATGAAGGAGTTGGCAGAGTTGTCATCCATGCCAATGACACAGAAATCATTGCCATGTGCCTGTACTATGGTTCAACATACCTCAGTACTCTCCCAGAGCTGTGGGTGAAAACAACAGAGAATGCCTATCTGCCCATTCATTAAATGGTAGCAGCACTGGGACCTTCACTATGCTGTGCTATGCCATTTGTCCACAGTCTTAGTGGAAGAGATACAACTAGTTATCCTTATTTCACTGGTAAGAAGTCTTGGTTCAAAAGCAGCATGAGAATGGACATACCTGCACTTGAAGAGTTTGGTCAAAATACAACTGATGACATAACAGATTACCTGCTTCACCAGGCACGAGGCCTCATCATAGATGTGTATACATCTTCAGCTGATCACTTTGAAGATTCTGATCTGGGGACACTGAGAGCATACAAGTTATTGAACAACAAATCAACACTCTTAAAGCTACTTCCTCCGACTGAAAACGCATTTCTCTTCCACCTTAAACGGGCAGCTCTGGCAAGCATCATTGACAAGAATGCAGATATTGCCAAGCCAGAAATTCCCCCTTCAGGAATTTTGGATGATTTCTGGATGAGGGCCAAGCAGTTGAAGGCAATTCACATTTGGCTAAGCCACGCCCCTAGAATGTAGATTGACCAATCACAGCCCAGCCAAGAACCAGCTCCCACAGAGGTCCGACACTTTTTGACAGCGCTCCATTGACTTTCAACACAGGCGTCTCATATTTTTGGTCTCGGCAGGCTATTACCGTCGTAGTTTTATCCAAAATATGGTTAAACGTTGTGCCTCGGGCATTTGCAACACAGATACGCGTTTCCCAGAGAGGTTGGAGGGGGGTGTCCGTTTTTTCCCTTCCCAAAACAGAAGTAAAATCCTGACAGTGACAAGTCTCGTGTTTGGATTAAACTGTATGGACGTCCTCAGTCAGCTAAACCCCGCAAATATCAACAAGCACATCTTTTTTGCTTCTAACCTTACTGTGAGTGTGAAGTTATACTAGTTAGACCGTTTTATAATGTTTTAGGTTATGACTTCGGTTCTCATTGTTGATACGCTAGCACATGCTGCTAATAAATACAATGTTATACAGTACTCGTGTAGTCCGTTTGCTTTGTAATAACGATTATAGAAGTGAATAGAGACCTACCCAGCTTTGCATGAACAGTGTTGCTCCCTGATATTGTTATAGTCCCAGCCTCCGTCTCCATTAGTAGGAAATGCGATGGTTCATTTTTTTGACTGTGACCGGTAACGTTATGCTTTTGCCTCTATTTTGGATGCCTTGTTGTTTCTTGCGTTTCACCTGTGTGTCTTGAATATAGCCTCTGAACGCATATTGCAGCCCCTTTTGCCTACTTCTATCAGACACTTTATATGCTGCTTTATAAAAGTTTGATACCATTTCAGCAGGAACAGCTGTTACAGCATAAGCCATGCAGAGCGCAGATGAAGTTTGACGGATGTAGCAACAGTAACTAAGGGGGGCGGGGCTTAGCCAAAGGTGAATTCCATGCTACATAGGAAGCCATTGCCAGGGGTTGGCAACCAAATGTAGTAGGATACAGCATGCTGAAACACTAGAGAGCAGCGACAGCAGCAGTGACTCCGAAAACAGCTATACAACTTGTATAAACATTATTACAGAAATTAGTTATCACCCTGAATTGTAATCTGTTTGTCTATTTCATTAATTATTATTATTATTATTGTTTTTTTTTTGTTTTTTTTGTTTTTTTTACAAATTGCTGCTTAATGTAACAGTTTTAATCATTAAATACTTTTAAAACTACTCCACACATGATTCCTGTGTGTTTTAGTATTTCAACATTTAGTTGTCAGTACCTTTGTCTCACACTCAGAAACCAGCCTAACCCAAAATCCTCAAATCCTTTTTTTTTTTGATAGAATAAAGCTATCCCACTTGTGAAAGAATATTACAAATACTAGACATTGCAATACAAATAATATATATATTGCATAAATATGCAAACTATATACTGTACATACATAAACATCAGTTAATGGTTAACTTCTTTCTTGGAACTAGTTTGAATTGACAGGCTATTATAGGCTTGAAATTGAATTCCCTCTAAATTTGTTATGGACCATAGGGACTGTATGGTTAGTGAAAATGATCAAAATATGATTTCATCTAGTAAAAGTTAACTTCACATGGTAATTTGTTTATTTTAACAACAACAAAAGGTAAAGAATGTTACCGATTACAAATGGAATGTTATATATTTTTTTTCTTTTTTTTTGCCTACCTATGAATTAAGAGGCATTGCTCACTCTTACTTTCTAATTACATGTACAGTCAATGCATCAGATGAAAGCTTATCTTCCACTCTTTTGAACGGTATGCTCAGTTTGTTTCTAGCATAAAGTATCAGGGAGATATGGCTCAGGATTCCTGAATATAATCAAACCGTTTTAGCATGTTTGGTTGATTCCGGGGAGTTAAAGCAGAATTTGAGGTAGCATTGTTTTGACCCTAATTACAAGTTTCCAGCAGCTTGTTCACCGGGTTGTCCACCCAGGTTGCGATCCTCAGACATCATAGATTTCATTTTTATATGACAACCTTTTACAGCAGCCCATGTCTGCTAAACCCCCTTTGCCCCCTGGGTAGAAAGTCAAATAGTTAAGACAGGCAGATGGATAGAAGAGGATAAAAGGAAGAGTAGAAAGGAGAAGAGATTATGAAAGGAGGGTAGAATAGGAGGACAGGAGGAGTAGAGGATTGGAGGAGGAGAAGAGGAGGGAAGAGAGAGGGAGAACAGGAGAAGTAGAGGCATAAATGCAACAAAAACTTGTAGTATCCTTCAGAAAAGAGCTGAGTGACTGTCCACCAATCAGAACACAGGACCAGTTATGTGTGTCTCCCTTTGATCTTTGCTAATCAGCATCACCTGTGCAATCAGCTTTCCTATTTAGACAGAGGCCAAAATTGCTGATACTTGGCCTCGAACAAACCTCAATAGAGACAAAACTATAGGTTGTATTGGCGAAATGACCTGACCGTGAGCGAGACAAGGCCTTTGTGAACGATGTGATGTATTTTTTTTGTGGATAGAGTTAAAAAAAGGGACCACTTTGGCAAGTTAAAAAACTGGTTTGTATTGCTCTGATCACAAAAGTTTGACCTGAATTTATAATTGCTGCCAATGGAGGAATGTCTGTCACTCTTGTCCTTTGGAAGGACACAGTGAAAAAACTATAAGTCCCAGGGATTTACTAAACACATGAGAGGAACCACAAACAAAAATACCTACGTTTCAAGTATAATTTTATGCCCAAAGAGTGAAAATTGTGGCCAGGCCAGCGATTTAAAAATTATTTTTTAGCATTAGGTTTCAAGCTGGCTCACTCTAGCACGTGCTCTAGCTCTGAACAGTCTCTCTCATTCACTCCCATTATAATTTCAGAAACGGGTTGAAAAACATCATGAGACTAAAGTAGAGATTGTGAAAAAAGTATAATAGATATCAAAAAGTTGAATACAACTTTAATAGCTTACAAATTTCTCAACATTTTAAAGTTTAAATGACAGAAATAGCTGAAAGTATGCAGAAGTTGTAGGCTTTGAAAGCAGACGGAGCATAAAACAGAATTTGAAGAATTCTCCATTGACTTCCATGTTAAAAAATATGCACAAAAAGTTTAATAATTTAAAAATTATAAAGGTTATAAAAAAGAAAAGTAATAGCACACATGTCCTTGAAAAGCTGCACATTTTGATACTTGAATGGTTTTTGTAGCACAAAGTAGAGAGGAGAAGAAAGCGACCGAAAAACGTACGGAAGAATACGGAATAATAATAATAAGAAAGATTTGGATTTCAAGAGTGTGAATGCTTGAAGCATTCACACTAATTAAGAAGCTATTAAAACAAATAGATAAAGTTTGTTAACATTCTTTTCATTCTTTTTTGACCAGTTTTGATGATCTTAAATTCAATAATGACTTAAATTTTAATGATTATTACTGTTTTTTGGAGTGTTACTAAAATAACTATAATGTATAATATAAACAAATATAAAGTTTATAAATACAGTGCTACTACTTATAATACTATTTAACTTTTTTTAGAAAAGAAAACAAAAAAAACTGAGGGAGAGATGAGTGCAAAAGAGGCGACCAAACAGTATAGGGAGCGAATTTAAAAGGATCCTAAGAAAACGACAGAGAAAATAAATCAAACTGAATGTTTCCATATACTTCATATAGCCTACATCTTAAAATAATTCAGGGATCTTGCTGAGTGACTGAATGACTGCTTATTATTCAGTATCAGAATATACCTGTGTGAGGTTCAGGTTCAACATAATAAGCTTGTTATTACAGGGTAATAATCTATATTGTGTTTTATAAGAAAGTGGTTACATTTGTTGGGAAAACACAGTAGGTCATGATTCATAATTGAGTACTCATTACATTAATTTCTCTGTTGATCCATTCATCTATCATTATTTAAACAGATATCGTGAAAAGAAGGCTCTCAAGGAATTGGAAATTTCATTTTTACCTTTGCAATGGATTTTATTTTCATGTCAGAAGCCAAGTTCCCATAC